AACAAACCTGAACAAACCTGGCCCCTCACCCTCAGGGACTTATCAAGACTCGTGGAAACAGAAAATGCGGGTCATCCAGAGAAATGCAGGGCAGGTGGCTTCCAATATGCTGTGACACACACCCTGGATGCTCTGGCCCTCTGCTTCCTTCCTTCCTCTGAAGTCACTTCCCTCCCAGGTCTCTCCCTTGAAGCAGCCAGGCATTCCCTGGGGGTGCAGGTGGAGGTATCCCTGACTTCTGAAACCCCCCCCCAGTCCCACCCCGCTTTCCAGCCCCTCTTTGGCTCTGGGCCAAGCTGATGGGGATTGTAGGTACCACGGGGCCCTAGTAGCCTGAGTCTAGACACGAAAGACCAAAGTGTGTCCACTCCCTGTAGCAGCGGCCTGGTCACAGCTACACTTCTGGATCTGAACTGAAAAGTCCCCTCCAGCCTTTTCCTGGTCACTGTATTTCAAGGAGGAAATTTTAGGACTGCAGGTATGGCTGAGTGGCACAGAACTTGCCTGGTAAGCACCAGGCCCCTGGGTTCCATCCCCAACACCAAAATAATAAAAACAATGATAAAGTAGGCATTTGAAACTTGACCTCCGTGGGGAACCCTTGGCAGGCCAGTGTCGGGAATAGGAAGAAAACCTGCAAGGGCACTGCCCCCAGCCTCGAACTGAAATGCTGCCTGTCTTAAGCAGGAGCTCAGGCTGCAAACTGCACAGGTGTTCCAGGCTGCATCTGGGGGAGGGACAGACATTTACACCTGGTGGTCCTTTCAGACTTCTCTAAATACCTTTTATGCTTGTCATGGTCATCGTTAGGAGCCATTCTTAGATCTTGTTACTTAGTAAGTTAAACAAAGCAGCACATTTGCCACAGCTTTTTATGCATTCTGCTGTTTAATGGAGCTTCTTCGCACACTGCAGTCGTCTGGGTTTTATTTCTGATGGAAGCGGCTCAATCCGTAGCTCACAGGGCTCCCCTCTGCCTGCTTTCTCCAATCCCTGCGCTGCGTGAATTTCTCCCTTAGTGCCCATCATTTTTAATAATCCAATTTATTTATTTTTCTTTGTCTTCCTCTACTAGGCTCCAAGCTGCGTTGGGGGCCAGAATTTTTGTTGTGTTCATTGTGTCCCCAGTTCAGAGAACAGGATCTGGCACATAGCAGGGACTCAACAGCTATCTGTTAACTGAATGGAGAGCAGAGATGACAGCTCACTTTTTACAGAGGAGCAGGGAAGTGACGAGGTCATACAGCGTCCAGGTAGAGCCCAGAGGGGTTTAGAATGTGTGGTAGGCTGCCTAGAGACCTGTTCCCTCGGAGCGTGAAGCCACCACCCCTATAAGGTAACAAACCACTCACCACCCCTGAGGTCACCAGCATGCCTCAAAGCTTCCCCCATTCCCAAGTACCTGAAGAGAGCGGAGAGGGTGTCAGGAGGACAAGGTGCCAGGAGTGCAGAGCAGGCAGGCGGGAAAGGTAGGGACCCCAGGAGTGGGAGAAAGCCTCGCTTCTCTTTGCCCACCACCCCATCTCTCTTGGCCTCTTGGAGCAGGAAGTTGAGGACAAAGGAGGTGGACATCTCTGCAAAGAGCCTGGCAAATGTGTCCTCAGCCCCGAGTGGAGCCCAGGGACTTTGGACCAGTGGGCTCTGAGGGCTGGTCCTGCTGGAAGGAAACAGGTGCTGCCTGGGGCACAGAGCAGCCCCAGACATTCCTGCAAGGCCCGGGCCTGGGCCAACTGGCAAGCTCAGCTAGGTCAGAAGGGGTGGCTGGGCCGCTATGAGACAAGCACCACCCACAGTGCTACACAGGTCTCAGGGGACCTCTGGGCTTTCTCAACATTGGCCAAGATGCCATCTAACACTCCCCCAAATAGTGGTTCCTCTGGCCTGCACTTCTCACCTACAGTACTAATGTTCCTTTCTACTCAGTTAATGACAGTTCAGGTGCTCACACGATTTGCTTAGACTGGTAACCATCTCCTACAGGACAATTTGGGGGTTAGAGGTGGTGCACTGTCAATGAAACACTGGGGTGGCAATGTTGGTGTTAGGGTAGCCACATGGCAGGGGGCAGGGAGGTACAAAAGCCCAGGGCTGCACAGGGCCAGCCAGAATTCTTCCTGGGGGGGGGGCTGGATCTTATCAAAATTCTCTAATCCATGATGAACATAACTCAGTTTTATATTACAAATGGCAAAGTTTTTGGCACTTTTAGTATCTATTCAATTTTCCAGCAGGAAAGACAATTTTACTTAAATCTTGGGGCTTGGTAGGGTCCACCTTGGAGAAGTAGTCCTGTCCTGATGTGCACTATATATTAGTCTGCTTTTTCCTCCATAGCAGCTACAGAATCACATCGGTTTTGAAACACTAAGTAGGTAGATTATAGGACTCTATAAATGTCACTGTTGGGAAGTAAAGGGCAAAACAGTCACAGTGTGAAAAGCGCTCTGGCCTGGCAGGGTGGGACCCTGGGTCCTGATCCCTAGGGAGATAGCCATGACTCAGTTTCCCCTCCACCCCTTCTTAGCTCACACACAGTGTCACTGTAAGAACCCTCTGGTGTTCCTAGGTGTCTCTGTTGGAAAGCCATTTGCCTGGAATTCAGACAGAACGGCGGAGGGAGGTAGAGGAAACAAGCAGAGGTGTCTCCCTAATTTTTTAGTACCTGTCAAAGAGTCAGAGGAGGGTCGTGAGTCCCAAACCCTGACTTGTCTCAATGCTTAGTGTTCTCAGGTGGGACTTTCCTGCAGCAGGACCACACCACAGATGGACCTGCACCCTCCTGCCCACTGCCAGCCTCCTCACCTTCCCACTCAGCACCTCACACCTTCTGGGTTTCCCCCACCCCCGCCCAAACCGCATCTGTAATCAGAGAATCAGTGACTGTCACCGCTCAAAGGGACCTCAAAGGCCTCCTCCAGTCCCAAGCATTTGAAGTAACAAAATCTTTAACTTGTATCCCGGTTTCAGTATGTGCCACCTGATACACCTTAGCTCTCCCCAAATCTCATGAGGGAAGTACCATGATCACCACCACTACCGGGTTTCACAAACAAGAAAACAGGGGCGGGCGCAGAGAGGTTAAGTCATTTGCCCAGTGTCTGTCATCCAGCATGCCACTAGCAGAGCTGGGGCTCAAACCAGGGGAGACCAGTTCTAGAGGTCAGACTCTTATTGGCCGCTCCTGAGTTCAACAGGCACTGGCAGCCCCTCCCATTTGGTCTTCTTGCTGCTTCCCAGGCCCAGTGAGACTGCTGAGTGCTGGGATAGGACGTGGAATGGTCTGTAAACTCAGTCCCTGCAATCCCAGCGTCAGCCTGCTAGCTCTGCTTTAGGGGACGCTTTGGAGACCTAGCTCCCTCCCTGGGGCAGTCGGGATGGGCGCGGGACTGTGGGCTTGCAAACCACGAAGAAGGAATCATTTCCAGGGCTCAGCCAGGCCATAGGAGGTCTCGCTAAATCAGAGAATCTCATCTCTTCTCTTTCTCCCATCGCACTCTTCCCAGGAGAGGGGGTAGCTGGGAGGGAGAAGGACGCACGAAGTTTCCCGATGCCTTGCAGAGCTCCTGGGACGCTCTTTGCCTTCTGCCTGCCTCACTGGGCTCCTGGTGACCACAGCAGCCCCCAACACACACCTGGGCCAGCCTCACCCACCTACTGTCAACCTGCCACAGTGACTCCCCACTGGGGCCAGGGCTGAGATTAAGTTGCAAAGAGCCGGAGAGATTGGGGATGACAAAAGGGGCTTGCAGACTAATTAGGAGCAGCAATGAAAGCTTAATTCATAAAAGCAAACATTTTCCATCCATCAACCTGCAACCAGTTAAGGGCACCGTTTGAAAGAAATCTGTGCATGGGGAAGGGAGCCAACAGGAACAGGAAATGTTTGAAAGAATGTAAACTATTTCAGTTTCATAAAAAGTAACAAGTAAACAGTTATTACATGCAAATAATGCCCTGGTTTTAATTAATGCTGAAAAGTCAAAATATGTTTGACATTTGTATGTATACACTGAGCGGCTGGAGAGGACACAATGGTGCCCAGATGCCCGTTAGGCAGCAGGCTGGCGGCTCCAAGGGAACTAGTGCCTTGAGAAGCCTTGTTTATTGGTGATGAAAAGTACAATTCTGCTCCAGCCGGCAGCCCCAGCCCTGAGTGCAGTCTGGAAGCCAGGGCACTCAGCTCACTTCTTTAAGCCAGGCAGAGGGTGTCTGGCGCTGGGGAAGGGCGACTCCTCTGGTTGGCCACTTCTGGCTGGTCTTAAAGGGCTAGTGGACCCCAAGCTTCTGTGCTGCCACTGGACGGGGTTTCCAGGACTCCTCCGCCCAGGAATTGAATGATGATGGGTTTTGGGTCTCAACAGCCTCCCACTCAACAGCCCCTGGCCACAGCCAGTGTGGCGTCTGGTGCTGCCTTCCCGCTCCTGCGGCAGCCGCTGCCGCTGCGGGGAGATCAGACAGGCGGGGCGGCTACCAGCTTGCCTCTGGGGCAGGAGATGGCAGCCCTAACACAACCCACACTGCATTCATCTCTCTTCTGAACCACATTAGGGCCTGAAGGGTTTCAGGAGACCACAGCTGGGGGAGGAGCCCTCAAAGCCAGCAGAGATTCTGCCCCTGGGAGAGAGTGGCTAGTGTGCTAAACACCAAGGGTTCATTCTCTGAGCCCTCGGCCAAAAGACTTTCAAGCTCCCCTTTCTGAGCTTGTTAATTCATGATCTTCTCCCAGTATCTTTTGTGAGACTAGAGGTGCTGAACTGGGAAAGGGGCAGCACGGAAGGCATCTGCAGTTTCTGGACCTGGGAGAAAACTGTCTTTTTCATGCAAGAGATTATTAACTGCCTCACATCCTCAATGAAGTCAGTAACACTCTAAAGGATGACAAAGTGCTATTTTAGAAAGATCGGGATCTAAAGATCTGTTTCTCGACACCAGATTCCTTTGCCCACCTGTGCCATCACCAAAATACCAATGTCCAGGGGCCAGGTCTCCCTCCCACTCACCTCGCCCACTGCGGCCCACAAAGCGAAGGTCGTTGAATCTGGCCACCTGATTCTTCATGACGGCTGAGGCGTTGCGCAGTTCAGCAGAATAGTTCTCGTCATTGCCTGCCATCACAGTCACCACCGTGCCATCTGGCACATCCCCCAGCGCCACCACCTGAGGACACAGGGAGAAGGGGACAGCTTAGAAAGGCAAGAGAAAGAGGGGAGGGGCTGGATGGGCAGTTCCCCTAGGTCCCAGGCGCACTGCGGATTTTTCAAAGGCAGGGAGAGAGAGAGGCTTAAAAACAGTGAACATCTTCCCAAAATAGCACAGAAACAAGACGATGCAATCTCTACCTTCCATTCCCAAGTCCTACATCAACTAGTTAGACTGTGTCCCAAGAAATCGTCCTTTCAATTAAACGAAACTAAGGGCAGAGCAGTGAATTAGCTCAGTCACTCAGAGATGGGACGCAGTTCCTCCGTTCTCCTCCACTACCACAAAAGAGGAATCAACATGCTCCTAGCAACCACGTCTCCAAGTAAAAAGAATATCAACAATAATAACAGGACTGCCCCTTGAACTCCATTCATGTAAGAGCCCTGTGGCGTATGAAATTTGGCCCTGAAATGTAGCCCAGGCCCAGTTTATTAGCCTCTGCGGAGCTTGAATTCGTTATGCAGAGAAAATGCAAAAAAAAAAAAAAAAAAAAAAAAAAAAAAAAAAAAAAAAACCTCCTGTTTTGAGAGAGGTCAGTCCAGAAAACCCCGGTTAAGTAGGAGGGAGCTTCTGATCAGGAGAATGCACCTGCTGAAAACTGCACAATGGGTGGAGATGCCCTCCACCCGCCAACATCATCTCCCCTGGCTCCTACCCCAAGGAGCATGAGGCAGATGCCTTCTGAAAAGAAATCAGATTCTAAATAGAGTCACAGCCATTTAAACGTGGCCACCGCGTGCAGGGGCTGGGGATCCAGATGGTAAAAATTTCAAGGAGAAAATGTTTGGGGTCTGATTAAAAAGGCCAGATTTCCTGTCAACATCCTGTCTTCTTTTAATTTCAAAGATTCCTTTTAAGCTCCAAGTGACAGTAAAACCTCCGATCTGACGATTACAGTCACACGGGCTTCCTCCCCTCCTCCCCGGGAGACACCCCCCTCCCGCTGGTATTTTAAGATGTCACCCGGGGAGACCTCAAAGAGCCACTAGTCCTTTTTTTTTCTTTTTAATTCAGAGTCGTCTTAATGGGGGCAAGGTCGGTCTCAGCTGCCAGCAGTCTCCTTTTCCAGGCACCTTGAGCACACCACCTCCCCAGCCGCTGGCCTTTCCTGCCCTGCCCTTTCTCGCCGCAGCTGTGAGGTTTAGGGGAAAACCAAGGCGTTTTTCGTTTCATCTCGCTGCCCACTTTAAAAAAATGAAAATGAAACGCTCGCGTACTCCTTGACATTGAGAAAACTACTCGTTGAATGACTAGGGGCTGCCAAGAGTGAAAACAACCATAATCTCAGCCTGTCATTCTGGATGCAGAATATCCTGGCCGCAGCCTTTCGGAGTGGAGTGCGGTGCCACCACCCCAGCCTCTGGTGGCTCCAGGGAGCAAGTCAGAAGCTGGAGCTTGAGGGTGTGAGCAGGAAGTGCTGAAGCTGCGCAGGAGAGGTGCAGCAACGGAGGCTAGGCCCAGTTCACCCTCTGCACCCCACCTTCGCTGTAATCACTCTGCTCCCGGGATCTTCCCCTGGGCTGCTCCCAGGCCTGGGACCGAGAGAGCCTGGTTAGGGGAAACGAAGCCTCATCCTTCCGATTCCGCACCAATTTTCCTGTCTAGGGCTCCACGAAACCCAGGTGGAGGGGCGCAAAGCCCCTCAAAGTTATAGGTTGGGGCGCATCTAGGAGGGAACTTCGGAATCCGCACTCAGAGCGCGGAGTGAGGCCGCAGCAGGGAATCAAGCGCGTCCTTTCCACAGTCCGCCGAGGCCCTGGCTGCTGCAGCTGGGACGCCAATGTGCCCGCCATCCCCGCCCGGGGCCCCGCACTCACCTTGAAGGCGACGGGCAGCGTCTTGTTGCAGCGCCAGTGCGAGGGCAGCACGGAGCAGAGGAAGTTGGGGCTGTCGGTGCGCACGAGCTCGCCCGCGTGGTCTGCCAGCACGTCCACCATCGAGCGCACCTCGGGCCGGGCGCGCCCGCCGGGGCCCACGGCTGCCTGCGCGCTCAGCGCGCCGCTGTTCTCGCCCATCTTGCCGCCGCCGCCGCCGCCGCCGCAGGGGAAGGCCGTGGAGGGAGGTGTGAAGCGGCGGCTGGTGCTCGGGTCTACGGGAATACGCATAACAGCGGCCGTCAGGGCGCGGGCGGCGGCGCGGAGACCTCCTCGGCCGCCTACGCCACGAGACGCGGGAAAGCAGAAGCGGCGCGGCCGGGCCTCGGCGCCTTCGCAGGGGGCGGCGCCGGGGACGCTCGCACGGGCTGGGCCCGCCGCGAGGCCGCGCTGCCCCGACGGAGTCGCCCGCTAGCCCCGCATCCCGGGCGCGCGGCCCTTCGGCGGCGGTGCCGGCCCGCGGTGTGGCCCCGCGGGCTGTGCCGCCGTCGCCCGCTCCGCAGCCTGCGCGGCCGCCCCACCGACTCGGCGGCCGCGGCCCGAGAGAAATCCCGGAGAACCGAGTGGCGGCGCCGCGGCCGCCCGCGCGGGGTTAGTACCCCGGGGCCCGCGGGGCGGGGCCGCGCGAGCGACGCGGGGCGCAGCCAATTGGAACGCCAGGCGCGGCACCTCCGCAGCCCGTGGGGGAGGGCCACGCGGAAGGTCCCGCCCCTCCGAGGACACCCGGGGTCTCCGGCCCCCGCGCGGTGTCCGGGTCGGGTCCTGGAGAGTTGAAGCAGCCCGGGCCAGTGGTGGACACGGGTGTGGAAGGTTCCCTGGCCTTTGTCCCAGGATCGCACCTCTCTCTAGGACAGGGCCCCCACCCTTCCTTCCCTTCCCCTCCGGCAGCCACCGGTCTTCCAGAGCGCTGGCTGCGTTGGGCGAGACATGCTGGGACCCTCAACTGGGCACCGCAGGGCCCCTAGGCCGGTGACACCGCGCAGGGGGCGGCCCCAAAGAGTTCTCTTGCTTCTTTCACCCCGAAAACTATTTTGACCCCAGAGCCTCGTAGGCGCCCGGATGCCACGTGCACAGCCCTTTGCCGCTGGGGTCGCAGCGCTGATGGCCCCCTGCGTCAACCTGGAGGCTGATGGAAGGGAGTCCCCCGCGGGCCTGCAGCCTGCTGGGCTGGGCTACCCGGTTCCTCTCTGCCTTGCCCTCAGAACGAGTTTCGGGATCGTGCAGGCCTCGAGGGAGGGATCATTCTTCGTGGTCGCGGCCCATGATTGTTTGAAACCGTGGGGAGGCCTTCAATACGCGTGCCTTCTGGAGTTTTTCGCCACGCATATAACGATTATCTGGGTTGGCTTTTTTTCCCCCTCCACACATGTAGCCGCCGTCCTGCATCGTGGAAGAGGACACAGACAAGCAGAAAACTGCGGAGTGGCTGGCATGTTGACTCCGGCTTCCAAAGACAGAATTCTTATTCTCCATGTGGATGACAAGTGGTCCCTGGGCGTCTAAGCCCACGTCTTTTTGGACCATGCGTTAAGGCAGCGCTGCAGGGACCTGAAGACTCTGCTGGACCCTGCCTGCTGCGATCTTGGCTGCAAGGCCCAACCGTTTCAGGCTTTATTACAAACAGCACTCCCCTCTCCTGCTTCCGAGTCGCAGGAGAGGAACCGGAAAGATCAGACTCCTATTCACCGGGAATCTTGGGAATCTTCGATCCAGATGCGCTCCCTGGATGCAGGAGAAACGAATGCAGCGGTGTCTCCTCCCACATTGGAGTCTGGGCTGAATTTTCGTTACGGAGGTGTTCGACAGGTGCCCAACAGGGAATTCCAAGGCTGAGGGGCAAAAGCAACCTAGGATCCGACGGTGTGGGTGAAGTCTCGCCTGGATTTCACCTCTCGCTATTTCCAACGAAATCAGGCCCCAAGTGCACACCAAAGGGTCAGGCTCGGGCCCAACCCCGACCACCCGGAGAGCCGGCTTTACCCAACGCTGGGCGCTGGGCGTAGTGCCAGCCTCTCAGGTCATCGTGCAAGCAGGGACAGGGAGTGCTCCTTATGGCCTTTTCAGCAAAGCCTCCTCTTCAGAGCTGTCGCCCCGCGGCTAAGGCCCTCAGAAGCGCTGGCTGGAGCTGCAGAATCTGAGAAAAGCAAGGGACTCGGCCTCTGTGTGCACTGGCTATGGGAGCTTTGCAGGGAAAAGCCAGGCGGGCAGGAGCCTGGGCGGGCCACCCATGCTGTCCTGGAGCTGCTGTGTGGCGGTGACTTGCGGTCTGTAGTGTTTGTAAGTTCGATTCATTGAGTGGTTTCTGTTTATATCCGCGCCCTTTCCTTGTCCCTCCGCCTGATTTCTCCCTCTGCCTGATTTTTTTCCTCACCCGTTTTCAAACGGGTTTCCAGGATATGGGACTCTTATGGGCCCTGGCACCTGGCAGCCCTCGGGAAAGAGCCCGCAGTTCACGGTCGCCAGAACCTTGGAGACCCAAAATTCTCGACCTTTGAGCCCCCAGCGGGGGGGTCGCGTGGCTGCTGGCGAAGGAGGCTTGGTAGCAGCCACCGCTAGTTGGCGCCCTGAGTCCTGCCAGCCGCGGAGGTGCCGGCCGTATCCCATGCACAGATGTGCGCCAACTGCTGCCCCGCTGTCCTGGCACAGCGGGCCAAATCCTAGGAGTTGCGTCCCTGTCCGATTCCGGGACATCCGTGCGGCAACTTCTCGGACAAGCAGATGGCTTGGTGTCAGACGAAAGGTCGCCCTCCCCACTTTGAATGGACAGGACTGGAGGGACCTGCACCCTGCCACTGGCACTACCTTCTCCCCGCCAGGAGTGCAGTCCCTTTCTCCCATTCTGGAGGCAGAGTAGGACCCACAGAACTGAGCAGCTGGTAGTCAACTTCCACTGACACCCCGTCTGCTCCCTCCCGCTCCTGGACAGACAGCCAAGTCAACTGAGGAGGAGCGTGCCCACCATCCACCCTGGGCAAACACACTCTAACCTACTCACTCTCTGACTAGCTGGCTCCACGGCCATCTCCCGTGTCCCTCTTGTGCTGCAGGGATGGACAAACAGCCTCACCTAAGAGCATCCCAGTGAGTCTAAGGCAGCTGCAGGGGGATGGAAGGTGAGGACAGTCCCCTCTCCTGCCTCGGCCCAGAGCTGGGTACAGGGGACCCAGCTGAGGTCAGGATAGCCAGCTCCTTTGATGGTGGGGTGGGAGTGGAGGATTCATCTAGCAGTGCCCCCAAGTGCAGTCTTTACTCTGCCTGAGAGCTACCAAGGGTAGGTGTGATTCCAGGTAGTCCCCATGCCTGGAAAAGGATGGGGATCCCACAGCAGTACCTGACAGGGGAGAAGGAAGCCCAGGAGAACCTTCTAAGAGGTTGGTGGGCTGTGGAAGGAGCTTGGGTCCCTTTGACAAGCCTCTTCCCCTCTGTGGGCCTCACACTTCCCACCTGTGAAATGTCCAGCTCTCTTTGGGAGCTGCCAGGACCCAGTGCCTAGTCTATGGCTGGAGAGGGCTAGGACCTGCCTCTAGGTGGAGTCAGCTCCAGGAGGTTCCTTCCAGTCCCCCCTTTCCCCAGCATCTCCTTGTCCCCTTCCCTTAGGTGCTCAGGCTCTCACCTCCCACACCCAAGCCCCACACCCAGGCAGACCCTTCCCTAGGTAGCAGCTGGGCCCCCTCCCAGCGGGTGTCTGTTTTCTTCTTCCCTCAGTCTGTCTGCAGCCCAGGCCAGGACTGTTCAGGACAAGTGTCTCCAGGCCAGCCTCTACTCCACTCTGCTCAGCACCCTAGAACTTGAGGGACTCTGAGCCTCAACTTCTCTTCTGTCAATGGAGGGCTTTCCAGTGCTCCAGATCGCCAAGGAGAGGACGAGGATCCCCCCTGGGAGGGAGAGGCATTGTGATTCAGTGCATTAGCATCCAGCAGTGGTTTGCTCCCTGACTTCAGATCTGTGTGTACACGTGCATTCGGGTATTGTATATGAATATAAATCACAATAGTATGTAACACATGGGTGGGCGAATATCTTGACATTGATCAGGGCAGGGTGGGAACCCAGTTCTGGGATCAGGATACAGAATGGATGGGGAAAAAAGTGTGGGTGCAGCAACTGTGCTTCTCTAATTACCGGGGGTTTCGTTTGTTGATTTAGAAAGAGCCCGACTTAAAGGGGAGAGAGAAGGGAGGGGGAGTGTGATGGTTGGCCCTCAGCTACTGCCACTGACTGGCTGTGTGACTTTCGCCAGGATCTGTACCCCTCGGAGTCCCAGCCAGGGCGGATAACTGAGCTGTGACCACTCACAGGTGTAGTGCTCAAGCTTTGCCCAGATCTGGTCCTCACAACAGTCCTCTGTAGTGGACTTTTACCCATTTACAGAAGGAGCGACTTTAGCCAAGGTCTGCTCAGATCTGCCTGGCTGGGGAGGAGCCAGTGAAAAGCCTGATTTGACTCACAATATGGGGAGCAGAGGATGGAGGGATCCCGATGTATGTATGCGCATCCCCAGCGCTGAAGCTGGTACATTGATGTGGGAAGGGCTCAATAAGCGTAGCCTTTATGCTGCTGTGGAACCAGAGGCGGTAAATGGTAAAATCTGTTTAGCAGCCGTGGACTTGGAAATGAGCAGACACTTGAAACCCAGTTGAAAGGCAGGAAGGGGTTGTCAGGGTCAGTCAGACCTGAGGTCCACCTCAGGTCCACCAATACTGCCCTCTCCTGCTCAGAGCCACCCTGATGAGACAGCAGGATCTCTGCAGCCCCCTTTTACAGATGGTAGCACTGAGCCAAACCACTGCCCAGCTGGAGCCTCAGATGGGCTTGCAACAGTTCTGCAGTTCTGAGGTGCGGGATGCCACCCCCCTGCTTAGCATCTCCCCACAGGCCTCTGAGTTGCCTTCCTGCCCTTGTAGAGTAACTTCCTGCCCCTGGAAGCTCTCTGGTGCGCTCCAGACAGGTTTCCTGCAGCCTCAGATGGGAACCCAAGGACCCCTGGGTGTGCTCAGGGCTTGGCTGCCCCCACCACACTTGCAGACCTGTCCACAGCAGGGGGTTGGTCCTGGGACCCGGCTTAGGGAGGAGAGGAGAGGAGAGGGAGGAGAAGGACAGAAGGAAAGAGAAAGTGCACACTCAGTTGGGTCTTTGTAGTATGCTCCAGGCTCCTCACCTCTTTCATTTGTAAATCGGGGAAATCTTTTTAGTGGACAATTGTGTAGTCTGTGGC